TATTTTTGAGACTTTTATACTCTTGTTTGATGTCTGCCTGCGCGCGAATTTTTTATTTGTATTTTCGTCAGTTTTGTAACTACTGTATGTTTACATGCATTCAAATCGCAGCGTATAGTGCTTCACTAAAAATAAGGTCTACCTAAAGTTCTAAAACGCAAGATATACTGGACTGTATTATTTTTTCGTCGATACTACAGCGTGTATAAGTGTGATCAAAAAGTAAGTGTATGCAGTTTACAGTGGGGTCCTGACCTGCGGACGATTCGACTTTGGGACACTTTAAACTGGGGGAAAATGGGTGTGCGTCATTGACGGTTATAAATTTTTCAAAATTTTTTCGAAGTTTAGTCGTATGCCCTATAATTGATTCTAATTTATGAAAAATTTCGAGCCAATTTCATCAGAAAAACTTATTTTTATGGGTACAAATGAATTCATGTTTAATTCATGTCTTTGTTGAAATGTTACAGTTTCAGAGTTTTTTTAAAAATTGTGCGCGTCTTACTTGAGGATATTTACAATTTAAATCAAATTTTAGATTGAAAACACGGCCTGAGGCGGGTTCGCTTCTTTATTGAGGGTGCGTGGAATTGCGCGACTTCAGAAAACGTATAATTCTCATAATTTGAAGATTGCATAATAATAAAACAAAATTAGGCCTGTTCAGCTATAAACTCACGTCTTGCTGTAGGCACATTGAGCAGCAGTGAGAACAGACGTTTCTCCGACCAAAGCCCCTCCGCAGACCACCTCGCAATTGTGATGCGTCAAAGGTTCAGCTCTTGCTTCAATAATTGGGGCCTCTTCGACATCAGCCGGCTTCGTAAAATCAACTTCAGATGCAAGTTCTTCCCCTACTTTTTCTTTTCTGATTTCCCCTGCTGTATGTGTTGACGATGAAGCTGGCAGTATTTTATGTCCAGCAGGAGCAGAACCCGGTGGGGACTCGCCGCCAGCTACTGATACTGCCAGAGACCCTTCAGGAACTGACTGATCTGCAACAGCCGCAGCCGCAGAACCGGAACCAGAAGATGCGCCTTCGGGAATATTGGCCGGCATAACAGCGGAATCCGGGCAGAATTCGATTCGCGCCATGTAGTTGAACTCTTCCCGCACCAATACCTCTTCTCCACCGCTTCCGAAAATCCTTGCCGTGGGGACTTCATGGGTTTCCGCGGATTTCATCGGGTCTCTTGAAGTGAATCTGCTGCTGAGAACTTTACGTGAACGAGAAATATAGCACGGCGATCAGAAAATGATTATATTGTATCAAGCAGCATATATATGCTCAGATTCGAGTTTCCAGTCGCAGAAGTATTTTATTTTTTTTTTGCGAACAGTCGTCGAATATTCTCTCTTTTAACAAATCAAAATTTTTTTTAATTGTTCAGTTCCAGAAGCATATTATTTTTTAAAGATATACTGTACTGTACAGTTCCTGTATTTTCATGCCACTCTTTTGTTTCCCCCGATGGGTTTCTGTTGCTTATAAAAATAATAGTGTAAAATCAATAATTTGCTCAGATTTTTGTTGTTGTAGAAAACTACGTCATTTGATGTAAGCACAATGCCTTTATTTTTTTAAATAGTTTCAAGTTTACGGCAGTTTCACAGCATGAAACAAGGGCAACTCACCTAATTAACTGAACCGAATAATTTGAGTAAATTTGGCGTGTAGAATTAGTATGACTACATAAGTATACTGTTCGTACAAATTTCAATTTTACTTTTATTTTGATTAATGCACGGTCATGAGGCTTCAGGCTTAGTTAGTGATGCTTTAGGTTATGCTATACTGTATTTGCAGCTGCGGGGTAAAATTGTGTACTGCACAACCAAACCTGTCTTACCGTTTACTTAATAAATGATACTGTGCAACACTTCAATGCATACTGAATTCAAGCACCTTTGACTACATAATCTACGAAATACTGTACTGTACTATACAGTATGGTATTATTAAACCAATAACCAGCATATGAACTAAGGCAGGTAGAATCGCATGAAAGTGTGGCAAGGACTTATTTATATAAACCTTTTAAAAACGGGTTTCACAGCTTACAATTACATTTTAAACAAAACTTTTAATCATGCTTGATTTCCTGAAGTCAGGGTTGTGAAATCAGATACCGTATACATTCAATTGGATTTCCTCATCCCAGCACCACGATGTTTGAATGTAAATTGTGAAGGGTAAAATAAATAAATATATACAGTATATATATGCGTCACCTTATCTTATACAAGGTGGGCCAAAAAAAGTGAACCGATTTTTTACATGAAATAGCTCAGTAGCATGCACATTTTTTTCTGGATGACTGGATTGGTGAAACTGATTTCAATTAAAAATGATTCTGGATTAAACTACTATTCGGTGAAACTAATTTTGAGCAATACAGTCATCCAGAAAAAAGATGTGAATGCAGAGGGTCACCGACCGGAAGCTGCTGCAAAGCCAGCGCCCAGCAGCACCCGTGGATGACGGGTGCCCCGCAGCATCCTATCTTGCCAACCCCCGCCCCCCCCCCCCTTTCTGAATTTTGAGAACATTTGCAGGCTCTTCAAGACTGCATGAAGTTTGCTTGTAAAATTATTGCTACCTGAGTTTCCTTTATTCATACAAACAGCTCTCCAGAACAACAGCTGCGTGCAAGAAGTTGCCTGACAACTTTTTTTTAAAGTTTTCATTCAAATGGATCTTGCATGTGAACTAACCTTTCCTTGGCTTAGCTAGTGGGACCATGTGAATACATACCATTTGAAAGATTATTGAACAAGCTTTCATTTGGTGTTCTATTCATTGCCACACAACTCAATTTGCTACCAAGCTATTTCAAGTCACAAATTGTTTCAATTTTTTTGGCCCACCCTGTATATCCCTTTTGAACCACCCTTTTACTCTTCTTGGAGCAAGATAGACAGTCGATTCTTTTTTTTTTCAACGGGGAACAGCAGAAGGTACATTTTCTTGAGCTGCGTTGAATTTCACACGATTCGTCCGACTTCTGAGCATGATGAGTGTTCGGATGAACAGAATGTCGTGTCTTACTTCCATGGTTTCATGCTGGTTCTAAGTAATCAGAAGATTTCGTTCATAATGGAAAAGTCTTATGAAAATTCGTGTGGGGGGGGGGGGGGGGGGGGGGGGGGGGGATTTTTTTCTACTTTTTCTGCAGTTTGAAAAGACGGCCGAGCATTTGTTTGATGCAGCATATTTTGGACAAAAAGATTCCGTTCTTGGAGTTTCAGAAAGCATCATCATGGGAAATCCTATGAGCGTGTTTGTGGCATGTTTTCAGCTGATCACCCAAAACTAAATTGTATTTGTGATGATCATTTGTGCCTCGTGTGATGTATGGTCAAAAATATGTACAATATGCTGAATAGGAGGATGTTCCCATAAATTAAGGTCTACTTTACGTGTATGACTACAATTCGCGAGACCATTTGATCAATCTCGTAGGGACAAATTACCCATGCAACGGGTTGCTGCCAGATAGTTCAATCTAGTCAGTTTTGCCCTTATTCCACGGAATACGAACACATTTTCTTGGATTTTTTCTAAATCCAAAATGGATGAAAAATTTACCAACATGCGCATTCTTTAAATATTGTACCCATCCCAGCATACGTAAAAAATCTGCATTCCTGGCATTCCAAAATGCTGAAAAATGAAAACATAACATTTCCTGAAAATTTTGCGCCATCAGTTTCAAAGATAGGTCACTGTAACCACGAAGTTCGTCATGGCAAATATATTTGCTGTAACAGTATTCAAACGGCAGTGTGATGATGGAATAAATTATTCAATCCTAATCTCATGATTCAAATGACTGAATCGGACACATTCGTAGTGATACAGCGGAATTCGCGTGAACTCTAATACGCATTAAAAAAACCTTCAGTATTGCAAGGTAAGCTTCAATAAGAAAGAATACCATTATTTTCTTTGTCCGCAATCTGTAATAGTTTTCATTGGGGAGAAAAACCGAATTTCTACCGCCTCAGTTTACTAAAAACGGAAGTGAGAACAAACCTCTTCCTGAAGACCACCTTTCCGGGAAGAATCCCAGTCTTGCACAATCGACGAAACTGATGGCCAACACCAGCACGGTTGAATTTAGCACGCAGCGAATAGTCGTGAACATTTTTATATCCGCGGATTACGTATTCGGTTCAGATTTTTTCAGCAAATGCGGGATTGAAAACACGACTGCTGATGGTACACGATCTAAGCACACAGCTTCTGAAAGGTGGCCTTTAAAAGGGCCTTTCTCTTTCATCGAGAATATTTCCCAGGTGATTTGATTCACTCGAATTATTCGTGAAGCAGCAGATGATCCACATTTTGCTGCGTTTCGGGTGCTGACCGATTGTTTTTGCATGCACGACCCATCCTCAAATGAGAGGACACAACACTTTCTCAGGTAATTCTTACATCAGCGGCGAATGCAGAAAACTTTTACCGCTCGTAAAATGCATGCCTTGCTCACTTCGATCTTCAATGCAGCATAATGCAATACACTTTTTATTTAAGGTGCTTCTCTCACTGCAAGTTGGTTTGCATAATGAGATAAGCAGAACTCATGATTCAATATGCTAATTTCATTGAGCGAAGCGTCATTGTTACAATGAGAGAAAAGAAATCCGCTAAATTCGGCCGATAAAATACAGTACAGTATGTTTGAATCTACATTTTCGGAAATCTTAATACTGTACAGTATTTGTTTTCAGATCATTGACCTTGATTTTGTTCGCACTGCGAACATACAAAAGAGAATGAAGGCACAATCGTGAATTCCATCGCAACAAAACTTCACTAAATTCATCTCAGTTCAGTTTCAAAAACGAAACGAAGTTCCGTCGCGGGTCACACCCCGAATTTTCTTCCGGCATTAAAACAACAATTTCAACAAACTCTTCTCAGTCAAAGTCGCTGACCGAAAGCTTGGAACACAGAAAATCCTTCAGCATTCGAAATTAATCTTGAACACAGATCATCGCTCATCATGAAATCTTGGGTCTTCGAACAGCAATTTCTTCTTTTGCAAAATCGGCGGCTTCTCCATCGTGCAAAGATAGAAATACTGTGTTAAGGAAAAATCCAGTGAACTGCTATTAAAAGAAAGGTGATCAAAAATATTGTACGAAAAGGATATTTGCAAAGCAGCTTGAACATGCCGGTGCCCACGCTCATAGGATTTCCCATGATGATGCTTTCTGAAACTCCAAGAACGGAATCTTTTTGTCCAAAATATGCTGCATCAAACAAATGCTCGGCCGTCTTTTCAAACTGCAGAAAAAGTAGAAAAAAATATTACGCAATCTTTTTATGAAGAATTAACATTAGCATGATCTTTCTTATTTGGCGTAATGAATGGGTGCCGTTTCCCGGAAAATAAAATATCACCTGCATTCGAATCCTTCAAAAAACGAATTTTAAAACAAGGACCTGACATAAGATTTCTTGACATTCCCGCATATCCTCAAGCGTTTTAATCATAACATTATCACATTTCACATCACTGATGATACATTTTCGAAACATTCGTTCAGCAATGAGAACAGTTTCAATGAAGTACAGTACTCGAACAAAAAAATTGTATGCCGAATTTTTCTCGCTTCAATATTTTCCATGATGCATCTCATATCATAAAAATTTTGCCATGTATTTGCACGCAAACTTCGATGGAAGGAAACGGAAGGGTTCAAAATATAAATCTTCAGGTCATTTTGTATCCAGGCAATAAATCGGAATCGGTTGATCGAAGGCTCTCTTAATCAAGCCCAGATTATCGTTTCGGGACTTTCAGTGTAAATACAAAATGCGGAGACTGGCCTCACAAAGACTAATGTGCTTCCGAAGAAATTTGCGAAGAAAAAAATTGAATCATATTAAATTTCCCAACTATCAAGATGGGTATTACTCACGGAAGCCAACATTAAAACAGACTCCTTCATCCTCGAAAGTCCCTGGCGAGTGATCCCCAAGACCTCACCACGACACGTCATCAGGTCAGCCAGCAGTTGGACATGCCGACTATCAATGCTCATTCCGTGACTTTCCATGGTATATTGGATTTCATGAACGATGGTCCGACGTGCTGCTTCAATTCCTAAACATTGTGCGACCTGCATTGTATTATTCGACGTCGCCGCAGTTCCTTTGACGCCGTAAGTCGCCATCACTTCCCGCAAATTGTCGCCTTCGACAAATAGCTTGTATGTTTCCTTCTTTCCATCCTCATTTCTGTGAATAACCGCTCTGCTAACTGTAGGTAAACCCTGGAATTGAAATTTTTAACATTTCACTGGTTACATCAACCAAGCATTGATCACCTCACTTTTTAAACTGAATCGCCATGCTTCCCAAAATACCTTGAATTCGAGTCAAAGAACATTTCCCAAACCTTTATTTGTTATTTAAGCACTGCCCAAAATAAAATAAAAAGGTTTGGACTAAAAAATTAATTTCAAGTGGGGCAATCGACATTAAAATGCTATTTCACCACATCGGAGACGAAATATTCCCTCAGTGGGTTTGGAGAGGAAAAATTTGGCGAAATTAGCTCAACAGTCCTTTCTTTTATTTTTTAATTTGAAAATCGAACCAAAATTTACCACTTCCCATCATGCGGCAGACACTGAAACAAAACCGGGCATTGTTCAAATGAAATTACAGTACGCCAAGTCAAATATTCAGCCAGACCTTAAAAAAAATACAATAACACCGAAGATTCACGAGGAGATAAAAGGGCTTGCCTTCACGACGACTCGAGGTAATTCTTCCATTAAAGTTTTCATGGTGAGATGCAGCGACATCGCTGCGGAAACAGGCGGGTACACAATCAGCTTTGCGTCTGATGCCACAAATAGGTGCTCCGCTTTTACTTTCAATTTTGACTCAAGGATGCTGCAAAAGAAAAAAATGCATTAGCACATTACATTTAACGAAGCTGCGAGGAAAAGAGTCATTTACCTTCTGAAAACTGTATCCATGTTCACCTCCAGTTTCAGCAATCTGATGCGATCCAAGTTCAGCTTGATCGACACGTAACAGCCGTCCGGTTCGTAAATTTCCTCCAAGTAATCAGAAATCTGAGGAGAATCAATACAACAGGTCATATGTAAAATTGAATACAGTGCTGTAGTGTATTTAATTGAGAGCGAGGGAAAAATGAAAATTGAAGTCACAGTGATGGAGAAGAACTTTCATGCAACGGTGTATCAGTTGCTTTCAGTTTTTCTCCCATAGTTAATGCAAGCGAAAAAAAATGAGAAAAAGTGCTTTCGTTGAGAAGTTGAGGGAGCGTTCGCGAATCTTTCCAATTTTAAAATGAGAATTTTTCGTGCGAAAGAAGAAAAAAGGAAGATACCCTTCTTTAGTTATAACCGCAATTTCAAAAACATGAGAAAGGAAAATTACTTCTCCAAGCAAGGTCTTCTCAATCCTTCCCTTCACGCACCTCGCGTATTCAGGATCATCGTCCACAGTCAAAGGTGCACTGATAATGGGAGTGGAAATATTCTTGCTGGCGTTGATGATCTCTTTTATTCGCGGTACACCAAGCGTCACATTCATGGCGGCCACACCAGCGAAATGAAACGTTTTCAACGTCATCTGCGTTCCTGGTTCCCCAATGCTCTGCGCAGCCAAAGCACCAACTGCAGTTCCCGGCTCAACCTTGGCTCTAAGGTATTTGTCACGACAAGTTTCGGCAAAATCCAGAAGTTGGTCGAGGGTTATTCGGGCAACTTCTGCAGCAACTTTCCCAGGCAGTTCCCGAAACGGAGCTCGCTGTCGGTCGACGGCATCTGCCTTTGATTCAACGAACGCCCTGTTTCACAAAGGAAAAAATTTGAATCTACGAATAAGCTTAGTTTTCTTCATGACGGGGAATCGCGTGAATTTTAGCACACAAAAAAGTGCGGTCAGCGGAAAGTTTAACTGCAAAGGATTGCAAAAACACATCCCAATGTTTTGTACGTCGCAAATGGTTCCCAGTTGAAACGATTCTGAGATCAACAACAGCGATTTTAAATTACAGTAACATCAAATGATAGGTTACTGACACTGAACAATGCAACAGTTAAAAAGGGGCAGAATTCGTTTCTACATATTTTAACGCCCGACAGCCTACATTAAGTGAGTTTCTTCGCGATTGCATGAAAGTGTCACCTGACCGTTATTAATCTTCTTCAAGTCAGCTGGTAGGTCACTTTACTTTTGGCAAAGTTAGAGAATTCGTTGACACCTCCCGGACATTACAACAAGCAAGGACAAAAGCTTAAGATATAAATTACAGAGTACAGTACTGTACACAGAAGCTTTTGCACTGAAGTAAAATATCCATGTGTAGTTTAGCAGAAAAAGATCAAGTCGCGACTGCTTTGCAGAAACGAAAAGAAAAATCGTTGACAATACGGCATTATTCACCTCAACTCGGTCTTGAAGCTCTCGTCTAATCCAATAAACCCGCTGTCGTCCAATATAAAGTTTAATCCTTCTCGAATGGAAGCGCCGTCCAAAGGACTTTGATCCTCGCAACGCTTGGAACATCGCACGTGATGCCATTGCCGTTCAAAATCAACGGGCTTCTCCTTCCCTGAAAAGAAAATAAAACACATTCGTTAAGCACGTAAGTCATCAATTTGATCACGCAAGAACGAGTCGAATTTTCCCGCTAACCTTCCATGCAAGCAGGATCCAGACCATCGCCACCGTAGCAGAACTGCACGACTTCTCCAAAAGAGTTTCTCACTGTATCGTCATAGTGACAGCAGATGTCCTCCAAAGCCTTTTAGTGAGCAGAAGAACGTTCGCAGAGATTTCCAACATTAAAAAAAATATTAGAGGTAAAAGAGCACCTCATACCTTCATCAATCGTCGCTGCATGTAACCAGTTTCTGCTGTTTTCACAGCTGTGTCGACCAAACCTTCTCGTCCGCCCATCGTGTGAAAAAAAAACTCGGTCGGAGTCAAACCAGAGAAGAAACTGTTGCTCACGAAACCCTTGGCATCCGGAGTTTTGGCTACATGGAAATGATCACGGATGAGAAAAGAATCAGTAAAATATTACGCTACACCTCAAGCCTTCAACTCATCAGCGCAAAAAGCCATGAATAATGTAAGGGAATATTGACTGTCAGTAAGCTCTAGATATAAAAGGTGCTCAAAAAATCGCTTCGCAGTGGAGAAGTACGCATTTTTAGTGCGTTTCAGATTGAAGTTTAATCCATCCAGAGAATTTTAACGAATAGTCGCATTAAGCAAGAAATATTTAAAAAGATTTATCTCAATAAAGGCTGAATCTTACGCGAAAGTCATAGGGACCAGGAAAAATCCTTCATTATGAAAAAAAATCCTTATACAGTAATTAAGACTCCAATAACGATTTGGCTAACTTACAGGTGACTTCATTACAATACTACCGTTACTACCAATGGCATCTACACCGACTTCTTCAATGGGGGTACTAGAGTCAAAAAACAGTTCACTGTACACCAAAAATGTCCCCCCATCCGAAACTTTCTGGATACCCTTCGCAGTAGGTCTGAACACGAATGATACGTTATTGGAAGCACGATTCTCGCAATAAACTCACAATTCCTCTTAAACTGAGGCAAGGAGCGGAATTCAAATCCGTCAGGAACCCGCTTGCCATTGATGGCTTGCTGACCGACACATGCAATCATTTGCGAGATATTTATGAAAGAACCTGAAAAAAAGATACAGTGCTGTACTTGAAAATACAGTACATTATTCAACTAAATAAATATTTTTAGGCTAGCAACGTTTTCCTCGCCTTTTGAGTCAACACGAGAGGATTAGAAAACACTAACCTTTCGATCCGCAAACAGCCATAGTGAGCGGAGCATTGCTTTTCGGTAGCTCCTGCAAACAAACCTTACCCGCATGATCACGAATAGTGGACAACTCTTTCAGCATCGCAGCCTCCAGGCTTTCTTCTTCCGTCATTCCAGGCTGACACGGCAATCTGCCTTCTTTTAATTGACAAATGAATTCCTCACACTTCGCGTACCTGCGAATACGGAAAAAATTGTGACATTTAGAAAGAAGCCAAGAAAGAAGAAAGAAGCCAGGCACAAAAACGAAGAAATGAAACAATGAAATACACGCTAGTTCACAGAAAAGTGATATTATCGTGATACAGTGTTGTGATGAGAAACTCCTCGCGAACTAATTTAAGTCATTCTTTACACCACGAGCGGAATAACAAACTTAACTCATTTGAATATCCGCACCACCTCGGAAAATGTCCTAGTAGAATACTCAGGGAAGTGGGAAAAAAAGGAAAAATCTCTACTTCAACAGGCAGTTTTGAAATCTTGAAATTGCTTAATTGAACAGGCCTCTCGATCAAATTTATCTCAACTCACCCATCGTCAAGGAGCCGCATTTTAGCTTTCAACAAGCCACCGCTAGGAGTAACGTCCCCGATGCCGATAGAAAACCCGCGGTTCATCAGATAGAACGATGCAATGCGAGTCATTCGCCACATTGCGTCTGCAGCTACTTGACATCCAAAGTCTTTCAAAAGCACATAGAAAATATTGCTTTTGGAACCTGCTCCGATCACACTCTTGTCCAAAGTTCCGGCTAATAACTCGGAGTTGTGCAGAACGATGTCTGCGGAAAAAAAAGTTTCACTACATTACTTTCTTCATCGAAGTGTGCTTGGCACCGATGAACCTTCAAGCTAAACGGAAAATTACAGGTGAGTTGAAACTCATTCAATAAAAAATAAGTGCTTCTATATCATCTTCGGAAAACAAGATAAAAAATATGAGGGACGGTTCTTGAATTTCAACTCTTCGAGATAGATTTGAATGAATTGAGAAGGGCGATCAAAAAAAAAAAAAAAACTTTCAGTCACAGTACCTTACATCATTATCACATCATCGAGGGACATGCAAATGCTGTAAAATCAATTTTAATGAATTTCCCATTTTTAAAGTCAAATAATATTCGTACAGTACTTTATTTGCACTCCAGCTCTGGCGCAACCTTCAGTATTTGACATGAGGAGACAGACTTGAACCTCTCTGGTTCACATCTTTTTACAGCTAGGAGAGCAATAATTTGTTTGAGCCAAAGATACTTGAATGAATAATAATACTGTAAAAATAATACTTTCGAACAGCTCAGATCATCTCGTTACCAAGTCTGATAACTTATGGACCAATCCTTGCACATCAATACGAACATTCTAACCTACACCAAGTTAAGGGATACTACGAAACGGAGGCAGCGATGAATTCTTACATGAGTCGTTGACGCAAAGCTCTTCATTCCTCGAATATGATTTTCCTTTAGTGCGCAAATTTGCATTGATCCCACAGCGTTTATTCGGCTTCAAGATCAGGCTAAAAATCTGCTTCCCAGTCCACAACGTTCGAGGCTGAAAAGAAACCGTTTTTTTTTTTTTTTTAAACATTTCAATCATGGATCACAATGCATGCTGTATTTTCAAATTTCTATGACATCAAAAAATATAAGAAAGCAGCATCATTAATGAAAGTCGATCAAAGTATTTTTGTTCGTTTCTTTCAACAAAAGAATAGGAACCTGGGAGGTTAAAGATATCCGCCAATCTTACGAACGCTTTTTGCGTTCAAGTGGATGCTTATCATCAATGCGAGCTAAACTAATAGGACGCAAGCAGGAAATTTCGTGATACGAACCTTCCAAATCACTGGGGCAGGAAAATCGAGTTTCAACGACTGATCCTCCCCGCATAAAATTTGCGAAATTATTTGACAAGCTTGCGCTCGCGTGAAAAATGTGTCTTTCAAGGTGAGCAAATGGCATCCTGTGATGAAATCCTGGGTCGCACCGATAACGAGTTCACCGTTCCTAGGCGTGACCAAGTTGTTTTTCACACCCATCAGATGATATGCTTCGGCCTTGGCTTCTTCAGTCTGCGGCAAATGCAAGTTCATCTCGTCACCGTCGAAATCTGCGTTGTATGGTCCACAAACACATTCGTTGAACCTAACAGCAAAACACAGACAAACCGTACATGCAAACAGTAGAGTAATCATCGTAAGAAACAAAACGAACGAATTATTTAAATATGCCTGAATAATTCACAGAGGATATCCCCTTGAAATGTTGGGTCTCACCTGAAAGTACGATTTTCCAGGACCTTCGCGCGATGACACATGATACTCAGTTTATGTAAAGACGGCTGACGGTTGAACAAGACTTTGTCATCATCCATCAAATGACGCTCCACAATGTCTCCTGGTTTCAAATCCATTGCAATTTTTTGCCTGTTGCCATATCTAAGGAATCTTCGGTTTCCAGTCAGAGGATCTTCCACAAAATTGGCTCCTGGATGAACATCGGCCCCATTCAAAACAAGACGCCTCAGGAACGGAAGATTTTCTTTCGTGGCTCGCATGGGATACGTCATCACCATGGCAACAAGCTTCGGCACACCAACCTGTGATCATAACGATTCTTAGTTCGTATCAATAGTGATAAAAACTCGAAATAGCTGATCTTGCCAGATCCTCAGTCAATGAGATGAACATCCGAAGCATCATTCTGGGCAAGTTTCAAGCTTTTTGTGAATTTCGTTTTGTTTTTGAGAAAACGATGATGCATAAAAACAAGAACAACAGATGATCATGAGCTGAACTTCGGGGAAGCAGCAATTGAACAGCGTCCTATATTTGCATTTTCCTCTTGAAAAATCCATTAAAAGCTGTAATTAAATAATTTTCTTCAGCTTTTCAGGATGAACCTGCATTAAAGATGACGTCAGTCCAGTTTCACGTCAACATTAATCAATGCCTGAAACTTGCTAAAGCGTTCTTAGAAAGTTGGGAGAATTTCCATGTGATCCCGGGGGTCGCACGAATCTTCAATATTTTTATTCTGTTCTACATCTAGGCAACGGTAAACTTTGAAACAACTCTTGCACCGGCATGAAAAGGAATTCCAAGAGTGCTTACCTGATCTATTCTGAGATTAGGATCAGGTGAGATGACAGTCCTCCCAGAGAAATCAACACGTTTCCCAGATAAATATCCCCTGAATCGGCCTTGTTTACCCTTGAGACGTTGTACAAAGCTTCTTCCTCGTTTCGACGGCTGTGGAAAACAATCAACGAAATAAGTCAAGGACTTCCAGGAATCTGACAAAAAATGCGAGAATATCGCTCAACGAATTCAAAATAAAGCAAGCTATTTACAACTTTATCGGTGGAAACACTTAGAGGATTATCAAAACTCGAGTGGACACGCGAAAGTCGTCAGTGCTAAGTAACATCTTATCTTGAACGAAATGTAACAACCCCTCATTCAAAATCACACGAATCATTCACAAGCGTTGAGAATTCGTCGCATACAGCGATGCGATTCCGCTCTAGCTTCGTTCAATGTCGATCTCGTAATACGCAATGATTAGTGCCTTTCAGAGTTTTTATGATATGCAGGACAGTAGTGAAGTGTTGCGTATAACCTCCGACTATTCGCATAAGATGAACACAAATGTTTCTCCAAGAGATTTATCTTTCAAAATTATATCAAACGTTATTATTTTCAGGTGTTCGGCGCTTTTTTTTTTTTTTGGAGAAAAGTTTGAGACTTGGTGCGCAAGAACTGGAACAAAATTATCAGGCAATATCTGTATTATTCCCGGGACGGTATTTCTGTTGCGCAGGTGTTATTGGAAGATGGACGCGCGACACGTTTCATTCAGTGAATCTAACCCGAAAATAAGTACACGGGAACCCAAACCATGGATACGCCTTCAAGACCTTATCCAAAAAAAAGATAACGAGAAAATTGACGATTTCATCAAATCAAGCAACGTAGACGCGGATGACGGAAGAGATGGAACACTTCTGCATCATGCTGCTCGTTCCGACTGGCCAATTCCAATTTTAAAGAAAATAATTGAATCCAGTGAAGCGTGCAAAACTTCTGTCGACATTTTGAACAATTTCGGGCAAACTCCGCTGCATCGGGCCATTTTATTCGGAAATCTGAGAGTGGCAAAATTTCTGCTCGAAAATGGGGCTGACATTAGTAGGGGAGGGCGAAACTTCACCGTCCTCCACATCGCGGCACGCGGAGGAAACGTGGAAATCATTGATTTTGTTTTGGCGGAACTGAAAAAGAAGAATGCGAATTCGGACATTGACATCGTTTCACCAAAAACAAAACGGACGCCACTATTCGAAGCCGCTGCTAGCGGACGAACTCGAGCTGTGGAGCACTTGATTGCATTGAAGGTACTAATGGATTGAAAAACTTCAGATTTTAATCGGAATTATTTGAAGGGAAGAGAATGTTAACGACTTCGGGTTTAGGGGAAACGAAAATTGAAACTTTGAGGATTTACATCGAAATGTGAAAGATTCAATTACATGCATTAGATTGATAAAAAGCATGAAATAAATTGTACCAAAGTTTTTCAAGAAGTTACGGTTTAAAATCTTCACGTTACATACTTCACAAAAATTTTCATGACAGACCTTTGCGTAGCAATCGGAAGAAATCGATTTTTGGCAATTGATCCTTCGCAGGCCGACGTCAGAAAAACAGATGCAGATGGCAACACAGTTCTTCACATCATCGCGCAGATCGGTAGGATTCATTCAACCAGCGGAACTCGTGGTTTGGAACGAACAACCTTCAAAACAACGAACGACTCCAAATTGGCGCAGACTTTGATTTCAGCAGGGGCCGACGTGAATGCACAAAACTTTTTCGGGGCAACTTGTCAACATTATGCGATCTTACATAAGAGAATTGACTTGGCAGATATTTTTCAAAAGGCGAAAGTTAACGAAGATTTGCAAGATCGACTTGGATGGAATCCTAAACAGGCGGTGACCGAAGAAATCAAAAGGAAATACGTAAGCGATATTTTCATGAAAATGTAGACCAAAATTCAGTGCTTTGTACTAATTCAACTACTCCCGAGAAAGACAAAAAAATCATTCTACCTGAATTCGAATCTAAAATTTTTCCTCATCTTAATTTTCAACCCACAAAACAGAGATCAATCAGGAACATAGCAGGCAGAAATCGCAGAGGCAGAAGATCCACGATGAGCGAGACGAGCAATGTGAGTAACTCGATCTTTCTATCATTACGAAGGCAACATCAAGTGATAGTCAAGCGATCAATAGCACTCGACATCCAGTCAACCGAAACAAACCATCGTAAAATTAAACGTAGGCAAAATTTAAAAATAGAAAGACGACATACGTTTCCGATCGAGTCTCGACTGAAGTGTGCATTAAATCTCATAGATGTCACTATTTTCGAAAAATTTATCATGCGAGTCGATGTCAATAAAGGTAAGAATGACGATTTCCCCATTTCTTCATCTATATGTTTTAAGTGAATCTAGACTGAGAATATAATCCATCTTTACCAGGATATTGAACCCAGCAAGCCTGCAGCAGCCAAAACAACAAACGGAAGCTCACAAAGGAAGGGAAAAGCGGAAGAAGAGATCACGTTACTTCGTTTGTTGATGGAGGAAGTCAAAGCAGAATTAACCATTCTGAAAAAAGTCGTCGAAGAACTTCGCCACGCTTCACTCAGATAGGATGAAAGTCATAAAAGATTGGAACAAAACTAAGCGCACAATCGACCAGGTGATACAGAAAGGGCACCAGCAGAAGTGTCATACCGCTTCAGAAGTTCATCAGTCATGAACTTATACCGGAAAGAAGAATAAAAGCCCTCCAGCGAATCCCAAGAGTAGTTTAAAAAAGTAAAACTTTCACTTGCAAAAAAAGATCTTTGGTGGTTTTGTTCGTTCGAGCGTAATCGAAAAAAAACAAACCTGCATATTCATTGGGATTCCAGAGAGTTCTGAGTTGATGTAGAGGGCACATTGCAATTGCAAGTAGTCCCAATCTTCTTGAATATTCTGCACTTTGGCCCCAGTCTGACGATGACGCATGATCAAGTTGTTGAGAAAGATTATCTCCATTAGCTTCATGGTTATATCATCCTCGTTCCTATAAGCGAGATTCAAAATAAACGATGAAGGCCGAAACAATAGAAATTCGACATCTTATCAGAATCCTCCGCGTCCAGAGAGAAAAAAAAAAAAAACTCATCAATGCGAAAAATTTACGAATTATTTTCCAGGGGCACGTTTAGACTTCGATTCTGAAAATTATTAAATAAATAGTCAATGAATAAGAATGATCGCGGATTCGAATTCAACTCTATTCAAAAGCCTTCCAAAGGACAGGATAGAATTTGAACGAATTTATGCGCAACTTACGATCCCTTTCGTGTTTCGGATATCACTGATGGTCGAATGCAGACTGGTGGTACAGCTATTCTAGTAAGCAGGAGGTTTCGCGGATGACCACAATCAGGATCCATGAAAAGCAGGGGCAAATCTGCTTCATTCATTCGATCGAACAATTCTAAGGCGTCGAGCGGAGTCAACAGCGTCAACTTCGCGCTGTCGACGAATCCTTCAAGCTCCTTGTTGAAGGAAAGTGCGTAAGAATAGTTCACTGCAGGAATAAATATTTCAAATATTAAAAAGACACCGCCATCTGCATCTTAAACATTTACCAGAATTACTAGACGAATTAGCCATTAGCTATTTACAATACTTCCAATTTACAGATCGAACAAAAGTAAAGCACTCCTGATTCTTGAATAGTTATGTATTTTCGCAGCTAACACTTTGAAAGTCATTCATTGGTCTATTTCGTGGTACTAGCGGCTTTAGTTTAAAAATCACGCTTCTCGGCTTTGATACATTTTCTCATATGAATTACAGTTGTACAGAAGTTCAGATTTTATTTTGCATTACAATACAGTATTATATAATACTGGTTAAGAATTCAAGCATAGCATCCATGTTTCAACAACGTCCAAACTGAGACAAGTTTTCTTCTCTATATTGATCACACATAGATGAAAAAACGGCAATTCCTTGAACACTGCAAAAAAAAATTGAGCACTTTTCTCACAATCAAAGTTGGGTTCGAATTCGAACAATTTCAACCGCTCAGGACTCAGGAGATACCAGATGATGAATGTTTTAAATCGGATGCATTTTGCCTATTCATTCAGTATATCTGGAAAGTTCTGTGAACTTTTTTTTAATGCGAACAATGATCGCGTACAAGCGTGGTGAAGTTGATAACTTGGCAAAGAAGTACTCGGTGGACATGCATTAGGAAATTTGAAGTTCAGAAATCGTTCAAAATAACAAGTTCCCCCGAAAACGATTGCGTGCCCGTATATGATGACTGAATGTGTCATGGCATTTTTGACGTAAATTACTTCTCTGACCACTACAGCGAATTACTTTAATGACAAAAAAGGACAGTACTGTAATAATTCACCGGACTACTTTTTAGAAATTCGTAGCGCACAAGCACTACCAGGCAGAAAAGACTACACCGTGCATACAAAATATTACACAGCAGCGAACTCAACTCTTTTGTCGTTCCAGAGATGCATCATCCCATTTCTTCATTTTATCATGGGAAATCTTCAACAGACCGGCTTTTCGAACAGGTCCGTTATCATCTCCACAGTGCTGACATAACGTCGCCTTTTTGCACTTCTCCAACACCTTCTTCCGCATGGCTTTTTTTGCCAGGTACCCGGCATTCCGCGGATGCATGGCTTTCTTTAAAAAATCCTCTCGAACTTCGGCTGATAGCAGTATTCTCCCGCATGTCTGAAACGTAAGCACGGATCGTTGAGCCCAGCATCCTCATTTCAGACGCCGAATTCGCGATTTCCAAGATTGATCAACATCCTACGAAAGACAGATTCAGTTTTTCTTTAAGGGCGGTCACCTTGCAAATTGAAGAAAGACAGTTGATGGTATCCCGGAAGTAACCGATGTGATAAACCGGCAATTCTAGGTCGATGTAGCCGAAATGACCCACACAGGTTGCTAGATTCTCTCCACAGGTCGAGCAGATACCGTCTTTCACACTCGTTCCCTGAGAATAAAATATATTTCAAGATCCTCTTTCGACTTGGAAAAACCAGGATAAATCGCCTTACTAATCTCCGATCAAGAACGCCATAGGGCATGGGTACCTCCGTCCTTTCCGCTTCATATAGCCTATTGGCGACAACGTGTAAATGCGCGCTTTGCTGGATTTCTGCTCCGGATTGCATTCCAAAGCACACATGCGATCTAAAAACATTGAGTAATTGTTGGGTGGAGAAACGAAGGAATTTTCGATGAGTAGCGTATCTCACATTTTATGAACCACATCGGGTTCCTGAAACTGCTCTTTCACCATTTTGGTACTTCTTTTGGGAGAGCTGTGGAACCTAGAAAATGCGAACGATAGAATTCAACGAATATTTAGAACTCCGACAACTACGAGGTGCATAAAGAATAAGGATTTAGAAAACATACATCAGGTTTTATCCGCTGCAGAAAACAACCACAAATCAACGCGAACATAACGACTTTTTCTTACACGAGCTATAAAAAAAAAGAAATAAACGGATAAACCCGTAGAAATACAGTCGCGATTTTCTTTTCTGACATGTTTGGACCTGCATCACGAAATTCATTTAATCTTATTTCACCAAAATGCCCGTCATTTCTTCGAACTCCCGAATCCTGAAAAGCCCATCATAGCAGCCATCGAAGGGTCCATGTCTGATCCTAATTCATCGTCACCGACCATATCCGACCCGTCGTGTCGACGTTTCCGTTCTTTCCGTTTTTCTCGTCGGTACTCCTTCAATTTCTCTTCCTCCGCCCGAACTTCTTCCAGACGCTCTTCGAGGTTATATTCCTTTTTCTTAATCTCGGCTTTTTTCTTGTTCATTTCAAGCCTTTTCTTCACCTATGTTAAAGAATGGAAAACATCAATTTTGACTGAAAAATATCCGTCAAGGTTCCAAGAAGAAGCAAACGACGCTTTCGACTGTTTTTTGGCATTAAGACGCGACAAAATCTACAATTTTTCCAAGACCGGGAATTCCTTGAATTCCAGCGATTTCTTCGAAATACAGGAGATTAAATCTATGAAGATACTTCAGATTATAATTTATTTCCAACCCTCTTAAGAGTTAGGCGAAAGAGGAATTGCTCATAGAACTGTGGATTTATCAAGAACAGAACAGATTTTGTCGCACGCGGAGCGAATCTTTTTGGAGTCAACCTGTAATATTAAAAATATATTGCGAATCACTACGTGAAAGTTATCCTTTTGATAACATTCATCAAGTTGGCTTAAGCGAAACGAAGAGTTCCCACAGAAACCGCACCTGATCGAGAGAAGATCTTTCAACTTTCATGGACATTCCCAAATTCCGTTGATGTTTCTTTCCATTGATGTGGTCGAGGAAGTTGATGGAATCTTTGACGACGCAGTCGCAAACGTTGCAATAGTACCCTCCAGTTCCCGACATAGGCGTGGACCTCGTTATAACTTGCGATTTGCCCAACTTTGAGTCGAGATCCACTTTGTAATCGCGTTGCCGCAGCATCTCTCGTTGCGTCGCCTCTCCATCCGCGCTCGTTTCCGCTTCTTGCTCTTCTTCCTGACTGTGGATTCTGTCCAGAATCCGTTCTCTGGCCATTCGCTCGTATTCGTTTCTGTCCCATTTCCGGCGATGGTCCGTTGACTTCCCTTCACCGGACATTTTTTCAGTGAAATTCCGTGAACGACGCAAGATCGACACACCCAAACACGCAAAGATGGCCGAATTGCGTCTGAAAAACGATCAGGATGAAGATTTAACCGAGGATATGCTCGGAAAGATGAGAGCGAAGTTTCATATTCACGATATCGCACACAACGTAATCATGTACTAGTCCGTAAGTCTGTCAAAATCTTCCGCGGGTGATCAAGAACTAGAGTAACTTTCGAAAAAGTCAACGAGATTTTCGAACCCATGTGAAATGTTAATCGTCGAAGTGGTCAAACATCTTGCAGCACTTTTATGATGGGTAAGCATATAGGACTATTCCACTTGATCACGGAGTAGGCGAATGCGTGGAAATCAATGCACACTGTTCAAGTCCAACGGCCGCTTCAAACTAATTTAATTTCCGCGAAAATATTGGAAAAATGCGGCAAATTCCAGCATCAGAACTCCTCACTCTCAAATCATTTCACAATAGTATCACAAATTGTTTTCCACGGAGCAAAATCTTCGTGTAGTTTCTTTTGAACGGATGAAAGCGATAAAATATAACTGCATACACCAGTAAACGATCGGTTACCATCACATGACAGTATTCAATTCAGTTTTTTGTTTTGTTTTTACAGAAAAATATTGGATCAATTGTAATCAATTCCGATTCTTCGTAATGGCCTCGAAATCCGGGACAGAATCCTCGTCATCATCACTGCAAGGCACGAAATCCTCGTCCAGCGGTACGTCCAGATGCTCCGTTCTCAGTAATTGGTCCAACCTGGCCTCCGCGACGTCACTCAACGATGGACGACGTTGTTTCTCGCTGTACATGCTTTGAAGGGCGCAAAGCTCTTCCGTGAGTCGCTTTATCTTGTCCTCCAGACATTTGTTCTCGTCAGTGAGTTCCTTAATGCGATCGACAACGGCTTTCGACTTCTGGCGACTCAGTTTCCGACTCTTCTGCACGGCGTCGTTATTTTTCTTCCTGTGGCTTGCATACTCGTCTGAGTGTTTGTCAACGTGACGCTGACGTTCCGCACTTCTTCCCATTCGCGAGATGATAATTCACTTTATTGTACAAATCTGAAACAAGGGACCACGATCCGATCAAAAGTTCTCAGGTCTTTTCTTCACAGATATGAAAATTCTGGCGTGTTACGAGTGGTGTGGAGGGAGTGCGAATCCAAAGGGATTCTAACGATGTTTTCAATTAACATATACAATTCATGGCCAATGAAGAAGTGTAACCTGAAAAAAATTGAACTCGCATCCGGAAATCTGGAACGAATATAAGATGCACCATCTCACAAATATACAGCAGTCATTCCCAGACGCTCGAAACATAACGTCACATATTGTAAACCCTCAAGTATCACCGGTAAAAACATACCACATTTAAAAAAAAGGAACAAGCGAACAACATAAAACTTAAGAGCTAGTTGGCACGACGCTTTCGCTTAGATGTGGATGCCTCACTCACACCTTCTGACCCTGTCGCGAATTTCACCTCACTGGGCTTCTCATATTCCTTCTGCATTATTTGAGTAACTCGCGATGCATTTGCGGGATCGATTCCAGATTCATCCGCATGCGGTTGCCGGACATTCACGAGAAATTCGAAGTCTGACTTGACCATGTTGATCTTCGACTCCAAATCAGCATTCGTTTGTTTTAGAGACGCTATTTTTGACTGCAAATTGTTCGAAAACTCCTTTGTTTTCGCGCGGCTTTTGTGCACAGCAGCATTATTCTTCTTGCGCAGTTCGTCGTAATCCGCAGTTCCCTTATCAACATTCGCTCTCTTCGCGCGACCCATACCAAATTTTCTGTGAATGTAAAAAAATAAAATAAAATTAACCAAATTCTCTTCCATAAAGTTTTTCACGAACTTCCGGGGTCAAGAAAAATCTTCGAAACCAGACATCGAACGATTCTCTAACAAATATCAACCTCACGGACTAACTTGATCGGAGCGCTCGCAAGCTGTGTAAATTTTCGTTAATGAATAGATACAAAGCTTTCTCGACCCCGATGGCAACCAAATAAACAACACGGGAAGGAAAAAATCGTACTCAATTTTCATTTGCAAAGAAAAACATAGGAGGAGGAAAAACCGCTGCGAATCAATTACTCGCCGCAACGTCATGGATTCCACTTCCCGATATTTGCCTCCTGAAATCTTCCGCAAAAGAAAATTCTGTACATAACATGGCATCAAGGTCTGTTGAAAAAAAACTTTTCCAAAACGGTCTCAACTAAAAAAAAACAAAGAATACCCATCATAAGAGGAAAAAACAAAGAATGCCAATCACTCCATATCAAGCAAAATTCCTCCCCTTAGAAAACCGTTTACAAAACTTGCAAACCAGCGAAACGCGATTTCTGCAAAAACATTATCATTACGAACCAAGCTTCCAAGATACTATTTAATGAACGAACATTGGACAAAATATTCCTCTACTTTTCAAAACAAAATAAAAAAAAGAGCTGCCAAGGCACAAAAAAGTTACCACCACACCAAAAGAAGAATTAATTGTACTCAGACATAAAAGTTAAACAAGTTTTCAAAAGCAAATGGCAATCCTCCATAAAAAGGGGTGACAAAATCTCCGGAAACTGGTTAATACAAATACTTTTCTACCTCACGCGATTTTTTAAATCGCTCGCCATGAGATTCACAAGCGACACAAAATACAAACGCGTTCGTTCCCCCAAGCCTCGCTTTCCAAAATTCCACAGTAAGCCAATGCCGAAAGTGCGTAACCGAGGCACACGGGAGGCACCAGGACCAGAAAAAAACATCCTTTTCTATAAAAAAAAAAAAAAAACACTGCCCGAAGATCATTTTTTGTAGAACACTCATTCACACAACTGAACCACAAACAAACAACACTGTACTCGCGTTTCTGCGGATTTCGCCTCTGGCTCGGATCCTGATCGGATACATTCGAAAGGGGACTACACTGGGGATGAGGGAGGAGGGGAATTCTTCTCACCCTACGTTTTTTTGTTGCTGTTCAGTAATTTGGCACGGCTTCTTTCCTTACAAGAAAGCCGCTCTGTGTTCATACAGCTAAGACAAATCCTTCAGTTTGGTTGTCTTATCCAGACGAGCCCAGTTCCTCTGCACACCTTTGAACATCTGCAAGAAAATAAAATCACGGTTGATGCGCGTTCTTATAAAAGAAAGGTACTAGAAGGTTCAACTATTTTCACACATGTGGACACTCAACTAGCCCACAGCATAACATACATAGAATAAACCCAATATAATCACCTTCTGCACCCATTTTTCTTCGGCAAGAAGTGTGTTGAGTATAACCGTAGACTCCATCTCAGGTCGCGCAGCTCTAATGGACGTCACGCGGGACGCACACTGCCCGTAGAGGTCGTATTTCAAATGCACAACCCTGGCGTATTCCGCTACAAGTGTTTCGCATTCCCTGCATATCTCATATTGCCGCTTGGGCAACTCTTCAGCCGATTCCGGAGGTGCTAGATTCTTCAGAGTAGTTCCGTCGTACCGCTGTCCGAACAGCTGAAGCAACGTCTTGTTCCGCGGGAACGGAGCGACATTTTTTGCACAGGCGCCACATACGAAGGGTTCAGGGGGTTTGTTGCAGGATACGAAATTCACACAGGGCCAGGCGTCCACGGACTCGCGGAACATGTCGTTCCAACCACAGATGTTGGTCACGACTTGTCGTCGTTTCTGGCACTCCGAATCGATGATGGCAATCTTCTCAGTAAAATATTTATCTGTAATGTAGAAATACCGAATACGTGAACGAAAAGCTTTTCCAAAGATTACAAAAAATTCCTCGAAATTATATTTTTCGGTCATCAGAAGCTATCAAGCTATGACGTCGATCCGAGAAGTTCAAATTCATGCTGATGTAAAATTAATAAACGTCGCAAACTTACCGTCATCCCGTATGATTTCGGTGAGGAAATTGGCATCGAGAGCTTGCGATATCAATGATTGAATATAAACTTCAAAGCTATCCAGAAATGCAGTTGAGGATGCCATACTCGATTCAAAAAATCTATAAGATCAAAATAACACAGGTTCATCCCCAAACTGACCCTTGAAAAACGTTGAAGTAACTCACTTGTTACGTATCTCCAGGGCTAGTGGGATGCTGATCCTGACGATCGAATCCTTCCCTTGATCATCAATGGCTTCAAAATCCAGAGGTTCAAGATTGTCTTTATCAGATATGGACCAAGGCACGTCCTACAAACGAAAACAAAAGTTAACCAGATACATTAGGACAAATCTAATCGAACAGTACGAACACCTATTTTTTCTCTCTCATAAAACAAGGACATCGAAAAAACTCACCATCGAAGTCTTCTTATACAACCGTTCTCCGATTATGCTTGTCATTGGTTCATACCGAATCAAAGAATTTCGTTCAATTTTCCAGACAGGAAATGTATCTCTCGGAAAATCGGACTTCATCATGACCATAGACCCGACCTGTTGGAAAAACGACAGTGCATGATACATTCAACATTCATCATATTAAAAAAAATCCTACCTTGAAATTCGAGGAATCTTCGTCTTTTAAAGGGTCTATGTTGTCAATTTGTGCTTTGTCCGCAGGCCGTGAAGCTACTACTGGCGAAGACGGGGACGACGGAGGCTCAAACGCTCGTTGCCTCGCTCGAGCGTCTTTTAAAATCTTATGTTTGCCGTCTCTATCGAAACCGTCGTCCTCAGATCCGATGTGAATTCCCAAACCCGGCTGCAGGAAATAGGAGTAAAATTCAGCTTGAATACCGTACTATACACTCCAAATTCAATATAAAATATACATCGTATTGAAACCCGTGTGCTGCATTGAATTCAACTAATAAGCGTCAATTTCCAGCATACGATTCAGACATTCAAGAGTTTCTTTCCGTTCAAAAAGTTTCCAGTTCACGAAAAGATTCCATAACTAGAATTCATAAAACACGATTTAACCTTTGCAGATGGCATCCAAGCAGGATCCGTATCAGAATCAAAGGCTTCTTCCTCGTCCAATTCATCTTCGACTTGACGAAACTTGAACTCTTTGGCTTTTTCCTTCGCCTGCCTTCGGCTTGTTTCTCGCTTCGGAATGATTTCTAAAAATAAAAATAGATCATTCTCCATTGTCATCGAACTATCAATTTCCGCGACATTTCAGGGATGAACAGGCGAATAGTTTGGATACGAATAGTATTTTAGAACACAAGATACACACAAACGTCAATAAAATGAAGATTCTCCACAGGGGCAAACATTATCATGCAACCTCATTAGCTCCTTAAAGACTTGAACGTCTGCTAAGATCTTAAGACATAATATTCAATTAAAGCGACGTCGTTCTGCAACAAGGTGGCACATGTTTTAAAACTCACCTTCAGTTATAACGATCTCATCATCGTCACTGTCCGCCTTCCGCTTTCGCCTGCCTCTGCCGCCCCCACTTCCTCCGCCTCCACCTCTTCCCCTGGGCAGAACCGGCGTAGCTGCTGCCCCTCGTCCACGACCTCTGCCGCGAGGAGTAGTTGATCCCCTGGGTTTCGTCACACCAGCAGCGGCCCCACGGCTGCCTCCTCTGCCGGCGCCCCTGCCGCGTCCAGGAGTGGCACCGCCCCGAGGACCCGTCGACATACCGCGGGTAGATATTTTAATTGGTTTCACTACCGGCGTAGAGACTGCGCTCACGGCAGGTTTCGGCGGAGACTGAGCTACCACAGTTGGTGGAGGTGGTGGCGGCCTGGGCAGCGAAGGAGGGGGAATGTACGGTTTCTTTATCACTTTCGGTGGCGGCTCTGGCTCCTCTTTCTCTCCTTTGAGAAACTTTAGAAAGCTGTCGTGAAAGCCAGCGGAAGCGCCAGATTTCGCCGGTGCAGATGTAGACGGCTTCGAGACGACCGGCTTATGTTCTACATTCATTCCATTGGAGCGCGTTTTTTCAGGTTCTTCCACGGGTTCTTTGGCAACTGCGCCAGGTTTGGAAGCCAGAAAACCAAGAGTGCTTTCAGCATCAGGCGTCACAATTTTTGAGTTTACTTGAGGTTCTTCCTTCACGGCACACTGGGTTTGCTGCTACAAAAGGAAAAGAACGATACATCTCATATACTGTACCGTGGTTTCGGGAATACAAATAAGCAAAATTTTCAATGATCTTGTGATTTTTACGGCGCTCGCAGCTTCAACGTCAGTTGTTACAGGTTTTTACTTTTCGTTTAATGAATTCAATCAAAAGTTTCAAAACTTGCATACCTGTATTTATGAACACTTACAAAGAGGATCCACCAACTTTCAATTAATATGCCTTCGTCGAATATCCACAATTGTATCGTTACGCGTGGGCTCTGTCGCCGAACTATTCTATCTGAACGTCGTTTCCTCTCTCTATTCGATGCGAATTTTCCCGCGCGCCAACAGCCCGTTCAACGTGCGACGAATTAGAAAAGGGCCGGCCCGAACTTTCAAAACAATCAAAGAGAAACTGCACATTTTTCAATGACTAACCTGCGAGATCCCGGTTCCACTGGCCTGCTCTCCCAATCCGTGCGGCGGAAACATAACAGCAGGTGGAAATTGTACCACAGGCTGAAAATTCCCGTCATACGGGTTCATGAAGATATTTGGAGCAAATGATGGTCCCGATCCTTCCTCAGTGTTGTAATTATCCAGTTCAGCTTGTTGTGCAGCAGCGTTCTGAAGTGTGATGAACGAAGAACGCTTCACTGAAGAACTCTTCCTCTTCATCGCCGACTTGGAATCCAAGTTGATCAACACGGGGTGAGATGGGCTCGGCGACCGCATGACTTCCACGCATTGCAAAGCAGGCATGGAGAGGTCCTCATTGTTGCGCGGGGACGCGTTGCTTCTTTCGTCTCCCTTGTTGAGCACCGCATGATACGACGAGTTACTGCTGAAATTCGACGCGTTGTTGACATAATTTTGCTGGAAGTAGGCTTCTCCCTGCTGAGATATTTGGTTTGTGGAAAAATTGAACGGGATAGATTGTTGGGATTGTGCCAGTCCATACTGTTGACCTTCGAATGCACATGGACTTGACAACTGGCCATTGGTGTTCGAGTTCAGACCGTTCCCACTGCCTGAGCCAGGCCGAGAGGAAGGAGAGCCTAAAAAACATAGTGCATTCAAATCAATTCACACGTAAACATACGTTCTCACGACGCCAAACAAGACGGAACCCGGTTTGCATTAAGCACAAATCACTGCAACATAGGTACTCGCTCTGACCAAGACGGAATGAAAAATCCCCAGTAAACTTCAAACGATCGAAATGGGAAATCAAAATTTCGTCTCGATCATTTACACAACAAACTTCACATCATCTCATTCCTGAATGACGAACGTACTCACCTGTCATCGCCGGAGAAGCTTGTGATTGCTGCGTAACATGGAAGTTTTTGGAGCTGTTCGGATTATAAATCCCAGGCTCCACATAAACCGTAGCATTCGTCGGGAATACGGGTTGTGAGGCAGTACTTCCATATTGCTGCGAAGCGGAACCGTATCTCTTGTTCTGTTCCACGATACGCTGCTGAGGTTGATGTCTGGACTGGGACGCGGTGGGCAACTTATGCTGCTCAGCCAAAGCACGACGCTGGTGCTCCATAGCAGCCATGGACGCTGCGGCGAGTCGTTGTTGCTGTTCTAAACGGATTCTTTCGGCATTTATTCGCCTTTGTTCACGTTCTTCACGATCACGCCGTTCACGTTCCGCCTGATGACGTCGTTCTTCGGCCAGCCGCCGCTCTTCTGCCGCCCTTCGTTCTTCTGCCATGCGACGTTCTTCTTGCTTCTTCTGTTCCGCGGCAACAAGCTCTGAGTGTTTCCGAACGCCTTCCTGATCCACAACGGGATGAATGGATGCAAACGGAATCATACTTTGCCATGGTGACAGTGGGCGCACCTGTAAATTGAGAATATGCACAGATGTAATCATAACGACGTTTCTAATCTGGAATACGCGTCGAAGGCTAATAGTCGTACGCGAACAGCAAAATTCACAATGAATTCAAGGTTAATTTCAAAAGTTTTGAATGGTGAACGTGTGGCTGACCTGCTGGGAAAGTAACTGGCTTGGCTGGATTGACGCTGATGCATGAAAGGTTCCCGCGGGACTGGCAAAACTTGGGCCACTTACAGACCCATGACCACCACCCAGGCCGGCACCTTGAAGAACACCGGGGCCACCTTCTTTCCCCAGTGAAGAAACTCCTGAGTGTGCGGCATTCGGATTGCTTCCCACATTAGAGAACGCGTGATGAGCTCCGATTGAGTGGAAGTTAGATGATAACTGATTAGCTTGCGATGCGGCTATTGAGTTGGCGTACGACTGATACGCAGACCATGATCCCGGCTCCATTACACATACGAATACGAAATTTTCCGAGATTTCTCGGAAACGAACATCAACGATACGAACTATGTTTCATTGGAGATACACATATTCCCAAAACGAATGCCGAACACGAATTTCACGATTGCCCTGTGCATGATCGACGTCAATCAGGAAAAACGGAAGTTTCACTCAAAACCCCACGGTGAGTGGCCGAATACAATCTTACTTTCTAACATAAATAAGCATGCTACATGATTCATCGGCTTGTAAACGGAATACGTAGAATGTTCTCACCGTACATGCCCACATACACAGCGAATTCGAAATTCACCAAGGCTTCAGCTTCCCTCGACACGAATGATAGCTCAACATGATATTCTCAATGGTTAAAAGAATTGTCTCAGAATTTTCGAAGGGAACCTCACGTCGTTCGGAGTGAAAGATAAAGTCGTGGATAAATCCAGCATTACCCCGTTAGAACTACGAAGCCTTTTCGGTAGGTATTCATGTCTGAGAACCGTTGAATTCTTCGGATACAAACGTGAAGGGTGCTAATGTTCATCATTACACGGAATTTCACACGTGCGAACACGACATTATCCTCAAAAATCAGTTCGAGACACGGTACCCAGACTCTCGCGAATATATCGAAGGATTTTTGCATCGACTTACCATTTTTTTCATAAAAACAAGAGCTGCATGAAACCACGCCTAACATACCAGACCAACCGAGGTTGTCCCAGATACCATACCAACAATCACATACCTTCTCATATGCCTCACACATCCATGGATTTCTGCGAATTCCTATTTTAAGTTTTCTTAAATATCTGACTTAATTCGATCAAATACTTCATAAACATTTTCTTTCTCTCAATGCATCGGTAACATAATGGACGCTTAGCCTAGTCCGTTCAGTACATCCAACGAAACGTTGACGCCTTAGCAACTACAGTACTGATCACCAGCAGCTGCACCTTTGTGTCGTAATATGTCTACATAGATGTCGCATGCTTTTTCTCATTGCACACTTGTGGACTGCCTCACACTCGCGTCGCAACCGTCCATTCCATTGTGTGCCAGATAACTGCCAATGTTATCTTTCAGTATTGTCAGTACTGTTTTGTCACCGCAAAGTGCTTCACAGAATAAAATGTAGTAAAATGAGCGCGTCCCACAGTCCGAATCTTATTATATTTCTAACCACATTGCGTATTGCTGCTAAACATCAAAAACAACGTCCTTTAGATGGCGAATTGCTGGTGACGAAGAATCCTAATCGACAGTTCCGCAATGCTGCATTGCTGCTGCCATCATCTGCTCTTCAATATACAGTATGATAGAACGCGAAATTGAATCTACAGCATATAGAGTTGAAACGTGTACGCCGACGATGGATCAGCATCTACAGCGAGTATACATATCAGTTCTATGGTCATGACGAAATGGGCAGCAATAATGACAGTGTTTGAATTGAAACATTCTCCTCCCACATATAGAGTTGAAACGTGTACGCCGACGATGGATCAGCATCTACAGCGAGTATACATATCAGTTCTATGGTCATGACGAAATGGGCAGCAATAATGACAGTGTTTGAATTGAAACATTCTCCTCCCGAAGGATTATTGACGCCGTTCACACGAAAAGATGAAATATGCAGCAGCACTCGACTGCAACGACGTCTTCGCCTTCGTAAGAGTACTGTATACTGTATTATCAAAGTCGAAAATGTTTACGACAAAAAGAGCGAATAGGGAAAGCCAAATAAAGTTTTGAATTGAGTAGTTCCATAGGTGAAAGCTTATCCTAACCGTAAGTTCTGGAAAATACGAGGTTTTCTCAAATTACGAGGTTGAAATGCATTCTATACATTAGATTTTGCATTAGTGTTATTTTACGTCCTCATCATACCGCCGCATGCTTATGATTTTGAGCATACAATTTAGCGTCAGAGACTGCATGGACATATAATTATCATTAAAATATCATGGTATAGAAGCATAATCAACGGAATTTTTAACTCAGTTTGCATTTTAAAAATCATGTCTGTTCCTAATTAGAATTTATAGAAATCTTTCAACTATTAAAAGCAGGTTCCTAAATTTGGCGACATATTCTGTCGCTCGTCGCATTTAATAAAATAAGCTGCCATTTTTTCTTATGTTAAGCTTATAGTTTTGTTCACACCCGGGAAAGCTGAATTCAAAACTATACTTGTGCTACTCCTCGATATTCGCTATCTTGTTTTACTATACAAAGCTCCCTAAAAGAAGAGGGGTCGTCTACTTACTCTGGAGAACAAAGTGTTTGTTTCGTCTTTCGGAGGTTCAATCAATCAATCAATTGCTGGTTTTCTGAATGATGGGAACCAGGTGTTGTTGGTGTGGAGATGGTTCTCTATTAGCAATTGCAGCTGAAGCAGCCCCTGCTGATGGAGACCCGTTTTGTGTGAAAGCCCCGTTGCAAATATTTGAATTTGCGTTTCTCCCGGCGTTTGCAGGGTCGTTTGAAGTTGGTATATGCTGTTGATCGTCCACATTCTGGGAATGTTGAACGTCGATTCCATTGACAGAATTGGAAGAGTGCGACAAGTTCAAGTAGTATTTGCCTCCTCCGGGATCAACGTTTGCTGGTGGCTCGGCTTTCACGTTATTCCCCGGCCTTAAATTGTTCTGCAAGGGTGACGATGAATAAATTGACGGCATTCCATTTCCGAGGCCCTATACGAAAAGAAAGAAAATCCATGCGTCAATTTCACTGGTGGCTCGGCTTTCACGTTATTCCCCGGCCTTAAATTGTTCTGCAAGGGTGACGATGAATAAATTGACGGCATTCCATTTCCGAGGCCCTATACGAAAAGAAAGAAAATCCATGCGTCAATTTCCTTGCTTTAAAAAAACGAATTTATAGACCATGACTGTTTTCACGAGGAAGATCGATAACAGCGTTTGAGCAAGCCTCAATTATTGTCGAGGCTATGATTAAATGCACTCTTTGAAATAACAACATACTGTAACTGTATTGCAAACTGACATCCTTGAAGAATGCGTTACCAATTCGATTTCTCTTGATTCTCGATTTTTCCTACATTGGTTTGTGTCACACTTTTACAATTTTTTTCATGTTCATCTTGAATACGTCCGCTCAACATTGAATTAATTGTTGACCATAGTCTCTCTCTCGCTCATCTTTAATTTCCAATTTTCGGGAAAAGCATTTCGTTTGTCAGTCCAGATATTCGAATTTCCACACTGCTTAATTTTCGAATTACGGCATTAATATACACGCATGTCAAAATAAAGGCTCGCCGAACGGAGGCATTTTCCCAAGGATTTTTTCCTTGGGAAAATGCCCAATAAAAAGAAAGAAAAAACCCTCTGTTCATTCATTTGCTTTGAACTTTGAAATATCTTTTGCAAAGCACTAGATTCTTGGAGCTAAGACTAAATGAACCTGCTGCTGGTATTTATGTATTTGGGTATGTTTATATATTATGAGTGGTCTAGAGATCGATTCTAACCCGACCAGGGCACATTAGCAAGCCAGAGCAGCTGCGCCGAGTTCCGGAAGATTATCCCCCGATTATATTTGGCACATTTTATCCGCAACGGATGCACTGTATAAAATCGTCACTATGCGGGTGACAAAATATAGTCGTATAAATACTTGTGTATGTCCCTGCCAATGACATAAAATGAAAGTAACTAATCACTGTACAGTAATTTAAAATCATTTGAGTCATTAAAATTGTATAGATCAAATCAATTTTTCTAGTTGATTTGAAGACTTCTTGTCTTCTATGAAACTCTGCTCAGGATATTTTATTGTTTACATTGTTCATCTCTGTCCATATATCGTATACTGTATTATTATTTATCGTTATTTTTTTAATCATTCTCCGGCTCGAATCAAACCTTTTCCGCGGCACCGTATTTCATACTGTACATAAAGCTCAATTAAGAACCATGACTTTCATGTGCTGTGTTCATCGCAAATACTGAAAAAGAACAACTTATTCTCGACAAAAACCTTCCCATTGACATTTTACGAACTTATCATCATTCAAACAGGATGTGACAAGCGGAAGCTTTGATGAGAGCGAAATCGTTCTTATAGTACTGGAAAAGCAAAATCAAGGACAATATTGTTTCATAGAAAAAAGAGCGATTGACTTTTCCGAATATCTATTCTGTACAGCGTTTATAGAACTTCCGTGTCCATGATATAAAGTCAGTTGGATTCTACGGAGGTCGTATTTTCAAGCCAAGTTTCGCCGAAAATTTCCACACCCTGTCGTCGACGAAATTAAGAATGTTCATTGATAAGACGTGGGCAATCGCTTCCGACCTCGAGCCAAAAGGCAAGCACATTCTTCTGAGCCTTCATTCCCGTCAGG